CTTCTGGCAGTTGTTTGATGCACTTTGCATTTTTGTAGAACTCCATCAACTCATTGGCAATAGCTTCTGGGTGACATGGGATGAATGCTTTCAGGAATTGTTTCTCTTTCATCCTCCTTGCTGTTAGCATGGGTGGCATTTGATGCATTCAATATGCAAAATGATCAAAAAGGAAATCCCTTATGCACAACTTTCTTCGAAGCTTCTGCTAGTCGTTTGATGCATTTGGCGTTTTTGTAGAACTCCATCAAGTCATTCACAACATCTTCGGGGTGACATGTGATGAATGCTTTCAGGAATCGTTTTTCTTTCATCCTCAGTGCTGTTAACATGGTAGGTCCTTTAATTTGCGGCTGAATATTCATTTCATCTATCTTCTCAGCAAGAAGAAACCGAGGTTTCAAAACAGCCTCTAGATTATTGAAAAGCAAAAAGGGATGCTCCAAGACCACGGTTGCAGGAAGCTTCATTGTAGCCAAGACAAAAGTCATATTCCTCTGAACCTTATCAACTGATAATGTCAAAATAAGAGGAGAGCGTCCAAAAAGGCCCCAAACTATATCATCTGAAAATCCAAACTTCTCAAAATTAGCTACCTTTTCACGGATAGTGTCAAGCCGTGAGATGCCAATTATTGTGGCCACATACTTAAACATTTTGGAGTACTTGGAAACCCCAGTTTTTCGTATGTACTCCATCTTCTCATCGTTAAACGAGGTTCTTGGAATCAATGTAGGTCGAGATAGGAGCATAGGAATCAAGTCCTCTCGATCAATACCCATTTCTTCGTACAGAGCAACAACAGGTTTGATCTTATTGTGCAAGTCATATGTCAAGAGTGATGGGTTTCTGATAATGGCCTTATGCAGCACTTCCCTAGACCCAAACAATGTCATAAAATAATGGATTCTCTCATCAAAGCAATGATTAATACGGCAACTAAGAAATCGTGGGCGACAATGGATGATCCTAACAAGATCAGATGAGGTAAGGCCTAACCCACTGAGTATGTTAAGCTTAGATTGAAGCTGAACAACATCAGCACAGCGCAATGAAGGTCTACGTAAGATTAACTTGGATACGTCATCCTCGCTACAACCCCATTGCTTCAGCACTCCAATGGAGTCCTTAGCACCTTCTTCTACGAGTATTTCAAACTGCGGTTGGCTACAGCCTGATCCCTTAAGAACTTCAGCAGCGTCCTGTGGATAGTCTTTACTACTCTCAGCAACTGTTTCGCCATGGGTCTGGCATAACGTCGAATAGGTGGTGGTAGTGCAAAAAAGGGCCCTTCTAACAACTCGATTCTTTCCCGTAGAGAGAAATTGATGCGAGGTGGAGACTAAGAACTGAAGTTTGATTAATGCATTAGCTTTCGGGTACATATCAATCTTGCAATGGCGAAACTAGCAGTTCTGGATTTCATGAACTCGAACTACAGATAACTTACGTAATCAGAAAAATACGTTCTTTGACAGCTGGAAGATTGCAAAAAAGAAGAAAAGAAAGCTATTCGACTTAAAATCACGCGTTGAGAAATGGAGCAAAATCCCTACAATCTAAGCATGACATTCAAGAAAACCAGGAAAATAACAGAGACGGAAATGAAGAAATTCACCTTACTTCAGATTGTCCAGCTTTAAAGCCGCGGGTTACACGGCACTGCGGATGATCTGTGGGCTTGCAACGGAAAATTAAAATATTTTCGAACCAGGTCTCTCTGTTAGAACAGACATAAGAAGCGCCATCCTCAGCTTGTTCTCACGATTAATTTCTTCCTTTAGAATGAAGGGCAAACTGGTCACTGAAACTTGGACGGTTGAGATGCCTATTCATTTTTAATCCAACGGTTTAAATGACAAAGTTCACGAAGACATAAAGTAGGGATAGAAAGCATCCTTCTTCTTCTAGCCAGAGACGTACAGATAACTGAAGCAATGGGGTTGCAGTGTACGACCATACAGACCTTGAAACTGGCTGCAGTTCCCATATCTCGTTCTTCTTCTTCTTATTCTTCAAGCTATTTATGCAGGGCAATGCCAAAAGCCCTAACCCTAGAATTGTTGTCCCGCCATAATCGATCTCAAAAGCCTGCCTTTACTCTCCTCGCCAGAGCTCTCTCTGTGCAAACTGCTCCTGCCACGGAGAGCTTTGATGCTCAAGGTGTGATTCATTTTCGTCTTCCTTTTTTTAGTTCCTTAATTTTCCCGGAACCAAGCAGATTTTAATTTTTTTCTTGTGATTTTAGTTGCAAGGCCACAGTGGAAGGCTGCTATCGATTTTAAGTGGATAAGAGACAACAAGGGAGAGGTTGCTATTAATATTAAGAACAGAAATTCCAATGCTAATTTGAAGCTTGTACTTGATCTATATGAGAAAATGTCAAGTCTTCAAAAGGTTAATTCTTCTTATTAAGTCTTCCTTTAATCACAACATGTCATGTTCCTTTCGTTCTTTTTAACATTTTTATAGTAGGATTCATGGCTCAGTTACCAGTTGTACGTAAAATTTATGGTCTCAAATAAGAGAACAATTATTTTTACTTGTCTTTTAAGTTGCAGATTGTATGGGTTTTCTGTTTACGTTTTACATTATTAATGAGATGGCATGGAAAATGAGAACCAGGTTTCTTCTCAGTTGTAGCTAATTGTTGGTCACAGATAGCAGGAAGTTGAGAGGCTTAGGGAGGAAAGGAATGCTGTAGCAAAAAAGATGAAAGGAAAAGTTGAACAATCTGAGCGCCAAAAGCTTATAGAAGAAGGTATAGCCATAGGCAGATGCTTTGTTAGGAGCCTTTACATTTGTGTGCTTCTCAATCGGTTCTCTTTTGTTAAGGTCCTTTGCATTTTGCATTCAGGAAAGAATTTGAAAGACCAGCTCGCGACTTTGGATGAAGAACTCGTTAAACTTAAAGATGAACTCCAACAGGAAGCTCAGTGCATGCCCAATATGACTCACCCTGATGTCCCCGTTGGAGGGGAAGATTGTTCAACAATAAGAAAGATGGTATTGCTACTGTTTTAACTCATTCCAGTTTTTGTTCTTACTGCTCAATAAGAAAGATGGTGTCTATTTGTGGATGAGGAAGATGGAATGTTGCGTGCTAGGTTCATGGATCATTCTTGATTTTCTATGCATTTTTTGTAGGTTGGTAGCCCCCGTGAGTTCAACTTCCCTGTCAAGGATCATGTCCAGCTCGGAAAAGAACTGGATCTCTTTGATTTTGATGCAGCTGCAGAGGTACTCTCTATGTCTAATATAAGGTATTAATGCATCCAGTTTAGCATTATGGACTATGGGCTACTTTTGTTCTTCGAATATTTGATGATTAGTGTGTAGATTGGCAGTAAGATGCAAATACAGATATACTGGTGTGCTCAACAATAAGTGATATTTAGTTAGCAGCTTATTTTCATTTTATTCCAACAATTATACACGTTTTTTTTTGTGTATAAATTCATAGACTAGTTTAGAAGATCAGAACTTAAAACAGTTAAAAGAAAACCAAAGAGAGCCTAGTATTGTGTCATAAATGATATGTAACTAAACATATAAGTCTGTACGTATTTATATGAACGAAAATAACAAAAAACTAATTTTTAAAACAAAGTGAGACATGATCAGGCCTGGAAGAGGGTGGTGTGAGCAAATACTATCTGTTCCTGGTTATTTATTGGCGGAGAGGGGATCTGGGAAAAGTTGGATAAAATCCACTAGGGTTCAGTGAAATTGCCATTCCCTCAAAGAAATTATTTTTGAAGCATTCTCTTGTAATTAACAACAAAAATTAAGCTACCATCTGTTTGATGTACTGTTCTTTTTGCTCATACAGGTTAGTGGTTCAAAATTTTACTACCTGAAGAATGAAGCTGTTATGTTGGAGATGGCCCTAATAAACTGGTCACTCTCAGAGGCTGTAAAAAGGGGCTTCACACCATTAACAACCCCAGAAATTGTGAGATCCTCTGTTGTGGAAAAATGTGGCTTTCAACCTCGTGGAGAAAATACCCAGGTTATTTTAATCCTTCCGAAGTTCAAGCTTTAATTAGTATACATCCTCGTATTCTAGGATAACAAGCTTTACACTCGAACAATCTCAAGCATGAACTCCCTGCCTGTATTGGTTGGTGTAAACCATGTTATGAATTGAGCTTTGCAGATAAGTCGAGTCCAACTTAATGTTTGTCAGCATGGTAGTTTGTTGATCCTCACTTCAAACATTGACAGGTTTATTCCATAGTGGGTAGTGACCAGTGCCTCATCGGCACTGCAGAGATTCCTGTGGGGGGAATTCATATGGATTCCATTATTGCTGAGTCATCATTGCCTTTGAAGTATGCAGCAGTTTCCCACTGTTTCCGTACTGAGGCAGGTGCAGCTGGTGCGGCAACAAGGTAAATTGTTAGCATGTCATTTATCTCTTCTAAAACTGCATTGAGATAATTGTTCCAGTTAAAAGCTAGTTAGTTATTTTTTATATTCAACTTGTACATCAAGTAATTAGCTGAAAACATTTGGCAGAGGTCTTTATCGAGTTCATCAGTTCAGCAAGGTGGAGATGTTCATTTTGTGCCAACCAGAGGAGAGTGAGTCTTTTCATGAGGAGCTCATTAGAATTGAAGAAGACTTGTTTGCATCACTAGGATTGCATTATAAGTACGGACTCGTTGATTCTATCTTCAGCTTGGCTATCAGTTGTTGTATGATATAATCCTTGCCTCTTTGCAGATCTTTGGATATGGCCACTGAGGATTTGGGTGCACCTGCTTACCGTAAGTTTGATGTGGAAGCATGGATGCCCGGTTTAGGTCGGTATGGTGAGGTATTAAAATGAGATATCTTTTCCTTTTGCCTTCCCACGAGCTTAAACAACTTTTCCATCTGACTGCATTTTGGTTGTTTCCAGGTTTGATAGGTCCACATACTCATACATATGTACTATATTAATTTGTTCAACCATGAAAGCTTAATGGATTAGAAACCACCCACATAGAATGTACTTGTAAGACCTTCCTAACCTGAGCATGTACTGTGTTTTCGAACAGATATCTAGTGCATCAAACTGTACAGACTACCAAAGCAGACGACTCGGAATCAGGTATCGTCCATCAGAATTACAATCAACTAGCCCGAAAAAGAGTAAAGGAAACCTAGCTCCAACACAGTTTGTGCACACGATAAATGCAACAGCTTGTGCAGTTCCCCGGATGATTGTATGTTTACTGGAAAATTATCAGCAAGAAGACGGTTCCGTTATAATCCCTGACCCATTGAGGCCTTTCATGGGTGGTCTCGAGTTGATATCACCTAAATCCGGATAGATTTTGTTCTTTTTCTTTTTCTGTTGAAGATAAGTGGATTTTGTTATTACAGTTTGATCCCACTCTTTTGGCAATAAATTTTGTCCAGTTAATGAATTAAGAGTGGGTACAAAAAGAAAGAATGAGTGATGAAGAAACAATCATCTGATCCTAAAAATGTATTTTTTCATAAAATTCTCACTGATTGAGTTTTTCTCTTCTCTATTGAAAGAGCAAATTAGTTAATACAGTTTCATTCAACTGCAAATAAAATATTCCCTTGCACTCTTACAACGTCCAAGAATTCAGACTCTAGTGTCAATACAACCAAGTAGATTGAACCATTGCTTTAACAGATTATATCCTGATGCTCGCTTTGATGATCTCANNNNCTGTTGCCACATTCACAAAGTGGCAGCTCTGGTTGATTAGATACAGCTTCTCTACAATTTTAGCTTGCTTAGATCCACTTTTTGGACTGGATATGTGTATGCCTCGTAATTGATCTTTTGTCCCAGGGAACTTAATTTTGTGAGAGTAGTAATTAGATCAACCTGAAAATTAACCAGTTACAAGATCGTGAATGATATAAATCCTGGCTTCATTCCATATGAAGATGAAAATCAGGATACCTAAGATCTAGCAAGAAGCATTCATCAAAAGAAAAAAAAATCTAGCAAGAAGCTGCATCAAAACTTCATTTCAAACTGTCAAATGAGAGATTGAACTTGTCAATTGACTCCAGCAAGATTAAACTCTTTTCCTACTTTTAGATGTAAGTTAACGTAGTTCGTAAAATAACTAGTTATGCACTAAATGCTGGATTTAAATTCTGTACACACCTAGGTGAAGACTCAGAGGAGTAAAAGGAGGAAAGTTTCTTCCATTGTGTAATCAAGATCAAAAGACCTTCAGCCAGATGGTTCTCTGGACCCAAAAGGAAAAACCATTCTACTTTCAGTAGCATAAAAGCAGTCATAGAACTGACCTCGTAATCTGTCTGGGACACTGTTTCACGGCTCGCTGATATTTTGAACCCATTTAGAGACATCTGGAATCGGTTGCCAGTAGGGCCTCGGTTGCAGCTGATCAGGACCCAAGAATGCGGACATGACAGCTAGCTGGTCAACAAGGAAAAAAGAATAGAACATGTGAATTTGATTAGTGCCTTTCATGAGAAATCAGTTACCTGATGCGGACATGAGAGCATAGAATAGATCCCTTAAAGAAAAATGACCAGGATAAGAGACCAATTCAAAGGAGATTTGGAGGATAAATATGAGCGAGCAACTTCAGCAAATAAACTTAGGCAGTTAGTAAATTTGTCGCTTGTTATTTCTTGCAGTAGCAGCGAATGGACTGTGCATAACCTGTACTTGCCTAAGTATAAAAACTTAAGCTCGTTCTAATAACTTGGCTGTGCTGTTTTAAAGTAAAAACCAATACAATTATAGAATAGTGTTCTGTCTCAAATATCTTTAAGCAGCATATGCGTAACAATTGCTCAGGAAGTCCTTTACACTGCTGACTTTACTCATTTGAATATGATGAGCCATCTTGAATGCTTGTTTCGATTTTTTGAGGTTACAAGATCTCAATACAAGCATATATATTTGACAAATTTACCTGGCGTGGACCAAATCCAATTGCCAAGAACTTGTCTTTCATTTCCTGTACACTTGCTTTCTCCCACTGAGGAACCCTTCCCTCTGGATCTGGTTCCTGTGTATCACTCCTTCCAAATTGTTTATCAAATAGGCCCCACTGTATGAACAAATAAGGAACGCACCCATAAGCCAAACTTCATATGCAAGAACAACCTGATCATCATCCCAGTCAACTAAATATTACAAGATGAATTGAGCACATGGACAATGTATATTCCATTAGAAGCACCTCATTAAGATCATTGTTACTTCTGCTATTATGTTCAGGCCCCTCAAACTATAATTCTGCCCCATTTGAGGGTACAAAAACCTTTACTTGGACCACAATGAAACTGCAAAGCTACCATCAGAAATTGTAAACAAGGTTGTACGGATCAAAGGGGCCTGTAAGGTCACCATGATCATTTCAAGATAGCAATTAGCAATGGCTAAGAATAGTTTATGGTCGGCTAGGGAACACCTCCAACTTAGGACCGCCCAGTGGGAAAAGAAAAACAACATCTGCTTATGGTGGATTGGTGATTGATTGGCACAAACTAATCTGAAGGAGTTCCATGAAGTACACTAAACTGAGAAATAAACTCCTACTTTTGCTGCATGAATCCAACATGTAAAGAATGACAATTATTGTAAGACACAAATCATTAACAAACGAACCTGCCCATTTGACCCATATGCAGTGTATAATAATCTCCCCTTTTCTTCATTCCCACCACATTTGCGAATTGCAGATGCAAGAAACGTGTCCTTAACAGCACTTTGTGCTACATAGAATGAACAAAACCTATTCAGGCCTGCTAGACCTCTATCTCACACACCTCTGTGTTAGATGACCATAACAAACATGGCATAATTCAAATTTTGCTTGTGCTAGTTATTTTACCTGCAAATTGAATGAGATCTGCAAAGGAAATTGGTCCACCCCTAGAATATGAGTCGATCTCTTTCTTCGCTTCCATTAATAAATTTAAAGCAGCAGAAAGCCCCTTATTCTCAGGTCTGCTTAACTCAGAGCTTCATGCAAGAAAATTGATGGAAAAGAAATTTTTAAATTTTGTTTCCAAAAAGACTAAATTAATCATGCTTTGAAAACCTGAAATTGATTGCGGAAGCAAACTTGTTCCCTGCAAAAACCAGGTTGATTATTTAAGGAACGTGTTCAATTCACGATTCACAAGAATCTGAATATCTTTGAATTTATTTTGTTATGATCTTACTTAACTCTCTCTAGGAAATATATGTAGCATATTGGAATCTCAGGTAACCAGTAACTGGTACCTACAAGCCAGAAAATTGAAAAACAAAACGGTATCTAGATTGTAGCTAATTCACACTAGCTCATTTGAGATGATGATTAATGTGGCAAATACCTGAGCCGTATTGATCCATTTGGGCCCCCAGATTTTGTAGCCTAGAAAATTATCAGCAATTCATCAATGAACTTTCTGTTTCCATAACAAAGTTAAAAAAAAAAAAATTGTAGCATCCATATTGATGTTTACAAGGAAAAGTTTTCTATCTGACCTTATCATAAGTCATGGCATCATTCAATGCCAAAGTTAGTATTGATGGAACAATATCAGGATTTCCCTTGAATTAATGCAGAAAAAGATCGAAGGTCAGTGTACACTGAAAGGATGGTAAACAATAGATACATATATACACATTTACACGTTATGGTACTTGGACTCATGAGAAGATAAAATAGACTTACCTTTATAAGCGTAAAAAGTGTTTCCTTAACACTTGCTGTTAAGAAAAAGAAAAAAAAACAGAAAAATAGAATCATCAAATCAGCAAGAAATTGTTAATTCAGGCATGGAAAAGTAAACTTATAAAACTCACATTGAAATTCAGAACGCTGACGGCGTTGTATCAAATCAGCAGCAAATGCAGTCCCAGTAAATGGGCCCGAGCTCATTAATTCCTAAGCAAAGATCATAACTGGCAGAAACTTATGATCACATAATTCCAATTCATGAAGTCAAACATTTCTCAAAGAGTTGCATCTAGAAAGAAGTACTAATAGCATATGGTTCCAGCTTTGTGGCCTAACAGCAATCTGACTCCTATTGTTGAATGGCTATTTCTATCTCCAACGTCCTATTCTTAGCGATTCTTCAGTTCCATCTATCTACCAATATTATCCGTTGTCCATTCATGGAATCTTTTATTTTTCCGGTACGATGGAGTGGAATGAACCCAGAGGCCACAGAGAAGCAACAACTCCAGGACACCACACCACTAGGATATAACTAGAGGAAAAGAAAGTAATCCCCCCATGCTCATAATCAGGAAAAAGGAAGCAACAAGGCGCTCTGCCCTTTTTTAAATATCATATACATTTGAATTCCCTAATAATGAGTCCAACTAAATGAAATGAGAGTGCCGACACAGACAGATGAAATTACTAATAGTACATTAATAAGAAAGAAATCAACAGAAATGCTCTTACCATACCAA